AGAAGACTCAAGCAGCTAAAGGAGTAACAAAAATCACATCTGAGAAATAAAGAATATCGAAGAGTTCATAATGGAACCTGAAACGGATCTGAGGACAGAATAAGGCCAAGAAACTTGGCGAGATATGTTTTCTTCTGAAAAAGAGGATTAATGCTGATATCTACTATTAAAGATCCTTTGAAGAAGTGGGAGGATGTCAGAACAACGGTCTTAGAATGGCATCTAAACCAGGTTGAGGCTTGGGGATTTCTACAATTGCAATGCTATTAATTACTTACGAAAAATCCTGAAGAAGAGAGGAAAGCAATTGACATTAGACATATTCTTTAACCATTTCAAACGGAAAAAAATATGACTAATAAAAATGCAAGACTGTGTGTGTATGTATTTTTATTATTACATATAAATAAACGTAGTAAGAAAGTATATATTTTTTATTTTTTGGGGTCTTTAGAACGAATTAATTAAATTCCCATAGAAATCTATGATAAATCGATAATCGGTTAACGAACAAAGTCTTGGAACGGATCATGTTCGTTAGCCGATCACCCACTGTATATATATTCCTGTCTGTTCTGTAAACTTGGTTATTAGGCCTACCTTCTAAGATATATATCTTACTGAAAACTTTTACATATCTGATATTTTGATAGTCTTTTAAATAGTAATTATATACAGGGTGATTCACTAGTGGCATTTAGTAGTTTTTTTCTCAGAAACAGTTAGATAGAAGGTGGGCCTAATAAGCAAGTTTACAGAGCAGACAGGAATGATTTTGGTGACTTTGGATAATCTTGAAAAAGATTATCCAAAAGTCACCATCAGCATTTTTGAGATACAGAACAAAACAGGGATTTTTTTTAAATTATAAGAAGCACTTTTGAGCTATTATATGGATAGTACACAACAAAATAAACAGTTTGAGAAAAAACTACTGAATGCCACCAACGAATCACCTTTTATATATAGAGTGTCTACTTAAACATCTATCCAAGGACAAAAGAGATATTTCAGCATTGGTTAAGGTTTGCATAGGTTGTGGACTGCAGCAGACACAAATATACCAAATATTATGTTGCTATAACATATGACATACACTCATTCCACTGCTATCTGCAACCAACATAACAAGAGGATGTCGCACAACAATTTGAATGGTACAACATGATGCTAAATTTACAGCAAAACAAACTACAACTTCTTAAGCACATTTTATGAACTGATGAAGCACTTTTTCCTGAAATGGAATGTAAAATTGTCATAATATACACAACTGAGCAGAGCTTGCTTCTAATACCTGCAACACCAAGCAAATTTTACTGTAAACATCTGGTGTGGATTTGGGATGAACAGCTTCTTAGCACTGTATTCATTAATGGCACCATAAATAATGACTGATATCTGAACATCTTAAACACAACAGTGGATGAATAGCTTGATGATGACTTGCCATTGGTGTAACTACAGCAGGTTTGGTACTAGCATGATGGTGCTCACTTCATTCTTGGACAGACATGTGTTAGTGGCTCATAGAGCTGTTTGGAAACTGCTAGATAGTACAACATGACCCTGTTCCACAGTCCCACATTTCCCAGATTTGAATCCTCTGAATTTTTCCCTACAGAGTCACATAAAGCATTAGTGTATGATGTATACCCAGCAGCACTATATGATGTTGGTGAACATTTTTATTTTGGATACTGATATTCACACAAATCTCATCCCCAAAATGAAATTCCTGGATCTGTTCCTGCACACATTACAAATTCCTGGGGTTCTTTTCACACCGAGATTTGATCCTGGATCTTCAGAATGATGCCTTAAATAGATTCTCATTGTTACTTTAGTGTTGGAATAAGCATGGATCACATGCATACACTTAAGCAAAGTTGGAAAGATGTATTTTGCAGTAAAACTGGAAAGAAAACTTCTTATAGGTTTCCAACCTCATTTCCAACAGTCCCTAGAGCTTTAATCTAACATCTTAATCACCCCAGCCATTCAGCCATTGAATTAAAATATCTGTAAAATTATCCTTATTTTGATAACCAAATTTAACTATATACTAATTATAGTTAATATTTAACCAAAAAACAAAATGACTTTTTTAAATGTAAATATCTTTTTTTAACATATAACAACATCGTTTTTAAATGTTAAATATTATGTTTATCCATATTTTATGAGAATTTTGTTCAGTTTGAAATAAATTTTAGATTATATATATATATAACTTGCAATATATAAATATTTAATTTAGAATTCCCAATATCAGTAATATTAAACGATAATGATATTAGCTAGTATTCATTTTTCTGACTTCCATCTTGGAAAATATCATATCAATAGTTGATTATTCAACAATATTGAACACCACTAATAAAAACTGTCAATGCTGTTGGATTTTCCAAGCATTCTTTATCTGTTTTCACCCTCTAATAATTGATACCATTACCTTTGTTTTCAGATGTGCTGAACATAAAATTACTAATATGAGTAATTATTTGCAAAAAAGGGGATCATTTAACTATTTTAAAAATATTATCCACCCCTTCAACCCTCAAAAAATATTACTCACCCCATCTTTTAGTCTCAGGGGATGTTGAAACATTGAGAAGTGCAAAAGAAGTTGGGTGTTTTTACAAGAAGAATATTTACATTTGCAATTATTACGGAAGATATGATAAATAACTGAGAAAGTTTCATTGGAATCAACAATATAAATAACATCTACCAATTTTGTCAGTATCTGTTAGTTTTTCTTAGAATGAATCATTTCAGCATTATTTCTTAAATTTCTGACAATGATAAATTTATTTTTAATAGTATAAATAATATAAAAAAAACAAATTTTACTTACATATTTCCCAGAGCAACTTCACATAACAACAATAGTCCAACAGGATTTTGAACACTAGTGTAACAGTAATTTGCACTTTTTGATACCATGTCAGCAAAATAAATGCCCTTGCCAAACATGTAACCAGTCTATGTAAATATAAATAAATATACTGTAGTTGATTCCACTTTTTTCAATTTTTTAAACTTAAATATTTAAATTATTATACATAATAAATACTTACGGAAGGTGCTTCTGGAGGAGCAATTCGTAGACCCTGAGATAAAATACCTGCGAAGTTTGTCAGACGTGATCCATGCCATAATAAATAACGATTTGGCAAATTTTTGAATGGTTTGAATCGCTTTGATTCTCCATGTCGCGAAATTTTGAATACCTTAAATTGGTTTGAAAATTTTTTTTTATACAAAATTTTAATAAGCAATTATAAAAATTATAGAAATTATTTGTGTCAATATGAAAATAATAAAAATTGAATTTTTACCAACCTCTTCTAATTTTAACGTATACTGATCATGAGTTTTTGCATGAGTGTTTTTAATGTATGAATTAATTGTCTTGTATTCATCACTAGATTCATCAAGAACATCAATGTCTGTTTTCAATTTATTATAATGCTGAGTAACAGGATCAACACTCGAATCACCACTGGCTTCTTTTAAGAGTTTATAAGCAACTTCCAATTCAAGCAATGAGTCTAACATTTCAAGTTTACTCTGAAAATGTATTAAAAATTAAATGGAATTATGTAAAACATATATAAATATTAATAAAAGGTTGACAGGGTGGAGACATGGAAGGGGTCATGTGTCATATCTCCAGCATGGTCAGACTTAATGAATATTTTACTTATTATCAGCTTTCACAATTTTTTTTTATGAAACTCTTCTATACCCTCTCAAAATTAAGCTTTTTGTAATTTTATAATAGTACAGTAAAACCTAGTTAAGCTGTATTTGCCTTAATAAATCAAAGAAAATTACAAACCTTAATAATCCTATCATTATCCAAAAGGGGAGGCTTCTTTAAACCAAAATCATGAGGAATCAATGTGTAAAATCTGTTAGAGGCATCCAATATTTTTGACTGATTTTCATTTTTGTTTTTAAGCTTTTAAAAATTTAAAAGTTTTATTATTATATTTAATTAATAATTACATATATATTATAAATAAATATTCTCGTTACCTCTTGAAGTTCTGTTAATACAGCATATGCTTGTTCAATTTGTTTTTTAGACAGTTTACCCAATGGCATTTTCTTCAAATCTAACTAATAATTAAATTCAAATAATATGNTTGCAATATATAAATATTTAATTTAGAATTCCCAATACAATCGACCCCCGTATAAGATCATTGATTATTTCGTTTTATATGAATTCCATGTTGTACAAGTCACTTAAATTTTACAAATACGTGAGCCGTTCACAGCCCGGTACACGTATTTGTAAAATCTAAGTGACTCGTACAACATGGAATTCATATAAAACGGAATAATCAATGATCTTATACGGGGGTTGACTGTATTACAACAATGATATAGTGTGAACTCTATATCATTACTGCAATGGATAGGATAGCGCATAGCACTCACCTGTGTGGAAAGTGTTACACTGTGGAAACTATATAAGTATTTAATTTTACACATCTAACAACTCTGGTTTTTTCATTTCTGAATGGCACTTAATTGTAATAAGTGCCCACCGGTGGCACAGTGGATAAAACCACCGAACACTAATAGATTGTTTTGGGTTGGTGCATTGCCAATTGGCTGACCACGTGGAATTTTCTGGGTTTTCTTCATGTCAGTAACACCTAAATAGAGGCCAGTTTCACATAACTCTTTCCAGGAGGCATTCCCTTGGTAGATTGCCCACGTGTTGTGTTACCATAACTAAATAAACCAAACTAAAATTCTAATAATTTTTCTATAAACTTGCTATTTATGAGGACATAATACCCCCATAGTATATAGGCATTCTCATAATGTTCTTAAGATGGGTTAGACCACATACATTTTTGAAATTTATGATCAATAATGCCAGGTATAACAAGTATATCAAACATTGCAAAGCTCAATAAGTATATAGAAACATCACCAAACAATTGCCTAAATAATCGTGCTATAATTCTGCTAATGTAATGATTAAATACAAAGTAATTTGGTAATACTAGAGGTAGATGTTAGTTGCCATCTCTTAACTAAATTAATAATTATAATTTTAGTAATTAGACTGGTTTGCAACTAGCAAGGGGAGGTTGTGGTTTCAAGCCCTGCCTCAGGTCAGTTTTTTTTCTGCCAGAAGGTTCTAAATTTATTTAAAATTATAATTATTAGAAAATTTAATTTAATACAATATACTAACCGGATAGTTTTTACTATAGCTTACAGTGACTGTAAACAAAAATGTTCACTTCCNATAAAAATTATAGAAATTATTTGTGTCAATATGAAAATAATAAAAATTGAATTTTTACCAACCTCTTCTAATTTTAACGTATACTGATCATGAGTTTTTGCATGAGTGTTTTTAATGTATGAATTAATTGTCTTGTATTCATCACTAGATTCATCAAGAACATCAATGTCTGTTTTCAATTTATTATAATGCTGAGTAACAGGATCAACACTCGAATCACCACTGGCTTCTTTTAAGAGTTTATAAGCAACTTCCAATTCAAGCAATGAGTCTAACATTTCAAGTTTACTCTGAAAATGTATTAAAAATTAAATGGAATTATGTAAAACATATATAAATATTAATAAAAGGTTGACAGGGTGGAGACATGGAAGGGGTCATGTGTCATATCTCCAGCATGGTCAGACTTAATGAATATTTTACTTATTATCAGCTTTCACAATTTTTTTTTATGAAACTCTTCTATACCCTCTCAAAATTAAGCTTTTTGTAATTTTATAATAGTACAGTAAAACCTAGTTAAGCTGTATTTGCCTTAATAAATCAAAGAAAATTACAAACCTTAATAATCCTATCATTATCCAAAAGGGGAGGCTTCTTTAAACCAAAATCATGAGGAATCAATGTGTAAAATCTGTTAGAGGCATCCAATATTTTTGACTGATTTTCATTTTTGTTTTTAAGCTTTTAAAAATTTAAAAGTTTTATTATTATATTTAATTAATAATTACATATATATTATAAATAAATATTCTCGTTACCTCTTGAAGTTCTGTTAATACAGCATATGCTTGTTCAATTTGTTTTTTAGACAGTTTACCCAATGGCATTTTCTTCAAATCTAACTAATAATTAAATTCAAATAATATGCAATTTTAATATAATTATTTAATGCTACGAATTTTACAAAAATCTGAAAAATGCTTACTTCAAATTCAGTCATTTGTCTTTTCATACTTTCAATATCAAATATCAGACATATTAATTCTTGAACAGCTTTAGGTAATTTTGAATCAACTCCAGGCTCTAATTTCTTCATTTGTGGATCACTATCCTAAATGAATTTTTACACATTATAACAATAATTTTTAAAAAAAATATAATTTCTAAAAATAAAAGATTATCTTTTGATAAAATAAACGAGTAAATATAAAACACTCTTTCTTAAACCGATTTCGAGTGATTTATATCAGCAGACAAATAATTAACAAAGATACTATACTTCAGCCAACGTTATTTCTTTTATTATTTTCAAATTTCTCAAAGAATTTTCCAAAAGGTTCTCCAAAATTTTCCAAAAGGTTGGCTCAAGTATAGTATCTTTGTTAATTATTTGTCTGCTGATATAAATCACTCAAAATCGGTTTAAGAAAGAGTGTTTTATATTTACTCGTTTATTTTATCTAAAGATAATCTTTTATTTTTAGAAATTATATTTTTAGAAATTTCACCAATCCCATTGTTTTATATTTTTATTGATCAACAATAATTTTTTGTTCTTAAAGTTAACTGTGAGGATAACTGGGCAAAGAGTTGTGACTAAACTCTCTATCACTTAATCGGCATTCAAGTCTGTAAGACTTGCTCACAGGGTTGTAGGATGGCTTTAAATTGATTTTAAAGAAAGTGTGGAGACAAGGCAATTGTATAACCATCATCTCCTGTCATGCTCCTGACACCAGATAGAAAAAGTACTCGCACCTTATCACGTGTTTATGCGAAGTTTAAGAAATAGGAGGGCTGTTACATTAATGAGTGGGGAGAGTCACGGATAAGTCTGACTCATAGCAGGTGAACGGTCCAAATTTAGCAAATAAATGGAATCAATAACTAAACATAACAATTAACATTTAATAGATAAAAGAAATATATTATACATTGCTCCAAATCAAATACAAGTCAGCATAATCAAACTTAACTCTAAATATGCTTCTATTCTTAGATATATTATTATGCCAAGCGTATACAGCTAATCTTAAATGAGAAAGTAACAATTTCTATCCTATCCTCATGAGAGAGAGAGAGAGAGTTTACAAATATAATATAAATTGTACTACTTTATGATGTAAGTTGGTCAGTAGTCTGTAGTCAGAGGAGTATGGGAGGTGGATGTGGTACTGTCATCTTCTTTATGTAGGTGCACAAAGTTAAAATATGTTGAAGATCTTTTTGGACGAAGAGATGCATCTTATATGGCAGGTCGTAATTTCGAGAACTGCCTGTCGTCTATGTGGCAATGTCAAATTTCTATTGACTGCCTTCTGTGGCACCTTCATATTATGGAGGACTGCCCTCAATGGCAGGAAAATCACCCTTTTATTTAGTACAATTTGACCAATAGTGTAAAAGGGGTTTCTATGGGATGACCACATGTAAAAGGGTGACCGCAGTTTCTATGGGATGTGTAATGAGTGCAAAGGGGGTAAACAGACATATGGCCATCCAAATTATAAATAAGGCTGTGTGAGAAAGGAAGTTGATTTCCCTCTTCTCTAAAAACAATGAATGTAACTTTTCTTTTTTGTAAACAATGTGTAGAGAAATAATATAATTTTCTTATATTAATTAACCTAATAAATCCCAATTCTCACATAACTAATAAAAATTTAAAATTAAATATATTGAATTCAAAACTCATGCTTTTTTGAATTCAATAATTTTAGAATGCTTATAAATTGGTTTTCCACAAATGAACTTGTGTCACTGCAAATTGACATGATCAGTAAAAACTTTATTGCACATATCACAATTCAGATCTTTGCCCTGGCAGATGTGAAGACCCTATTCCAAAATCGTGCTCCACATGTTTCACAAGCATGAACACGTTTATGTTAATACTGATGATGTCTGAATTCTATTATATCTGTAAACACTTGTGAACATTTAAGCTGCTTGTACAAGAAAACGTTGATCCATGTGAAAGAGCAAAAATAAAAATTCTGTTCTTGAAAAGAAAAAGAAGTCTGAAAATTTGATTCCATTGATTTGTGAAATTTGCAGATCAATGTTTTCTTGAACAAACAGTTTAAATGTTCACAAGAGTTCACAGATGTAACAGTTCAGACGTCATCAGCATGAACATATATTCATGCTTGTGAAACATATGGAGTGCACAATAGTGTTTCTTAGTCTCCACATATGCCATGATAAAAACTTAAATTGTGATATGTGAAATAAAGTTTTTAGTGATCACGCAAATTTTTAGTGACAACTTCATTCAGGGAGAACAAATTTAGAATGCTAAAAATGTCTTTGCTACCATGAAATATTTTAGTATAAAAAAATCAGAATTAAAAATTTTTGATTTTATAGCAATAAAAATTTTTGTAATTAGTAAAGTTAAGAAATATAATAGACATAAACTTATGAATTTATATCTCTTCATACTTAATTACATAGAGCAGGGCTTCTTAAACTTTTTTAATTCACGACCTCATTTATGATTGTGATTTTTTTCGCGACCCCCAAAAAATATAAAATAAAGATATATACAAATTTGCAAAAACAATAATGGTGTACTACCACAGTTCACTCTTGTGATACAATGGAAATGAAACAACTGAATACACTGAATAGTGACAACACTACACTAGTTCACACTACAATCAGTGTCGCTGAATCGTTGTCTTGCTGCACCAGAAGTGACACAAAGTGCAACTCACGAAACCTATGACACAAAGCATGCCATTTTCAAACTCTCACAAATTATTTTCAATATTTTGCATTAAATTCTCGCGACCCCATTTGGGGTCACGACCCATAGTTTAAGAAGCCCAGACATAGAGTAAAGTCTTATATTTTATTTTTATTCTAAAATATACACAGTTTGAAAAAACAACATAACTTAAAGCCACTGTGCAATATTAATCAAATTCTACATGTGGAATGGCAGTGAAACACTAAAAAATCCATTACAACATCACAAGACAAAAATACATCATTATAGAATATTTTTGTCAGAAACATTTAAAAAAATCAGAAAATAGTAAATAAATAGTCTGGTAATTAATGCAAACTGAAACTGAGTAATGTTAGAAATGGCTTTATAACTTACTAATATGAAACATTTATAATGATGTAATAAAGTTTTTATTTTTTCATTATCATTCCATATGCAGAATTTGATTACTATTGCATGACAGCTTTAAAATGCATAATTTTTTTTTGCAACAGAGTGTATAAATTAATAAAAAAAATCTTATTTATTATGTTAATACTATTAATTTATTATAATTTAATAATTAAGAAATAAATTCAACCAAAACAACAATAATAAACATGAAATATTAATATCTGAAATACTAAGGATTTTTATATCCTTAGTATTTCATTTTAATTTTTCAAGTATTGAAATGTTATACAAACCTGGCCATAATCAATATCAAGAGGATAAAATTTATTTGGATGTTTCACAAAATTGTTTCTCTCTTCCCACATATTTCCAGTCTTTTCTTCATACAACCTTTTAAATTCTGTAACTGCATCCAATTTTCCATAAAATTCTTCCAATTTATTTCCACCAATTGTGGTTCCCACCCTTCCCCAAGATCTAAACACCCAGAATCTAAAAAATGAAAAAATTGTTTGATTATTAAAATAGTTCCTAAAATTATTTTAATAATCAAAATAATGCATAATCTACATACTGGTGAGATCTATCTCCTGCTAAAAGTTGCAATTTGTAATAAGAGTTAGTTCCTTTAATAATGTCAACCATGCCCAAAATGGCATTGTAAATATTGCCATTTTCTTCATATACATGTGCGACATCTTCCAAACCTAAAAATAACAATTATTTGTTGTTTAAACATTTAAATGCATTCAAAATATATACATAAATTATAGTATTATATGGTATGGCATTAAATTTTGTTACTGTAATATAATGAAGGTTAATTATGCACTTTAAAAAACTTTTTAAATCTTGTTATATCAAAAATATGAAATACCTGAATCTGGCTCAACAGCTGCAGCTCCTTTAACTGTCATTTTCATCTTGGTAGGAATACTTTTAGTAAACATCTTCTCTGTAAATACAGATATACTAAAATACATGCCATCAAATAAATAGATACTACTTTTTCAATGTATGCCTCGTATCTGTCTCTGGACAAACACTTAATGGTCCACAGTCATCAGAAGGCATCAATGTATTAATATAGGGAAATAATGTGATAGTCTGTTTTACTCTTTCAAACTATGTATCTTGTATTCCCCAAATACTTATTTATTTATTACTCACCTTCGTGTAATTTTTTTTCAAAACGACTGATTTTCACCGTTGGCTGAAAAATTCAATATATTTGAATATTTTTGTCAGATATATAAAAAATAACATTATTTATTATTATACATTATTTGTAAAATAAAACTAACATATAACTAACACCTTATCCTTGCCGAGAAATATAATTTATTTCAAACAAACGTTTTCAGCCTGATTCACAGGCCATCCTCAGGTTGAGAACCAAATTTGAATTAAAGGATTCCATTAATGGAATACAAAATTAAATAACCAACAGAGTAACATAAAATAAAAATGTAAAAAATGTACATAGAAGTATTAAGAAATACAATTACTAACACATCCAATAAAATTACTATTTTGACTGGTTAGAGCTCTTATTAAATTTCTTAACTATAAACTTCCATGCAGAGGAAAGACTTTCTTCATCCCTCGCATTTAAACAGCCTTCTGCAACTTTTCAGCTGTCAACGCCAAAGATGGGGAAGATAAAGGTTCTATGATGGCTGCCGCATTCCATTTGACTACAGATCCTGGTGTTTGCGCCATTTGGGACAAAATTGTTGCATTAGACACCTTTCTGATATTATAACTATGTTCCTTGATTCTAAGTCCCAAACTCCTGATGGTTACTCCAATAGAGTCTTTTTTAATGCCCAATTGCATATTCTCATAAGGAATTCTATAAACCCCTGCTTTCTCCTCTGACATTATAGCATCCTTATCATTTCTGAGGATTTTGTATAAATTAGGGGCCCTTTTTATCAGCATTCTCGAACCTTTTTTGTGAGCAATCTCTTTGATAACGCTATTCATACTTTCATTATATGTAAATTTTACAATTCCAGTGGGAGCATTTTTAAGACCCTTTTCTTGATGTTTGCTTCATACTTCCTAACCATTCCCAGAATTGCGCTTTTTCGGTAACCTAGGGTCTTGGCCACGCTCATTATTCTATTTATTTCTTTACTCCTGTCTTGTACTGTTTCACAATACAAAAATGCCCTTCTTATTAAAGCTCTGAAAGCTGCAATTTTATATTTATATGGATCCTTGGATTGGGAGGGAATATACAATGGGCTGTGGGATGGTTTAATAAAAACGCTAGTGGACAGATGGCCTTTTTTTGAATTTAATACCAATGTCTAGAAAATGTAGATCCAAGGAACTCTTCTGCTCCAATCTTAAAGTAAGGCCATCATTGATCTTATCCAAAAAATCCTTAATCCTGCTGTTATTTCTCCATAATATAAGTAGGTCATCAACGTATCTGCTAAAATACATGATATCCTCCTTAAAACCATGAAAAATTCTTCTTTCCAGTCTCCTAACTACCAATTCGCATAGGATCCCTGAGAGCGGGCTTCCCATAGGGACCCCTCTTCTCTGTCTGTAGATCTGTCCATTAAAAGCGAAACAAGATTCACGGCAGACCAAACTAGTCAAACTCTCTACTTCTTCAGTATAACTAAGCAATTCCGAGTTATTACAGTATAAGAAATCCAATAGCGCCTCCTCGCACGATTCTATCTTTACTGACGGATACATGCTTTCATAGTCGAAAACAGTTGCAACTTCATCTTCCATTANATGATTCTATCTTTACTGAAGGATACATGTTCTCATAGTCGAAAACAGTTGCAACTTCATCTTCCATTAATGTAATATTTTGCAGATCTTTGACCACTTTCATAGGATCACACACAACTAGAGTATCCGTGTCCAGCTGGAAGGATAAATACTCATGCAACTTTTTTTCTAATACTTTAATAAGAAGGGCATTTTTGTATTGTGAAACAGTACAAGACAGGAGTAAAGAAATAAATAGAATAATGAGCGTGGCCAAGACCCTAGGTTACCGAAAAAGCGCAATTCTGGGAATGGTTAGGAAGTATGAAGCAAACATCAAGAAAAGGGTCTTAAAAATGCTCCCACTGGAATTGTAAAATTTACATATAATGAAAGTATGAATAGCGTTATCAAAGAGATTGCTCACAAAAAAGGTTCGAGAATGCTGATAAAAAGGGCCCCTAATTTATACAAAATCCTCAGAAATGATAAGGATGCTATAATGTCAGAGGAGAAAGCAGGGGTTTATAGAATTCCTTATGAGAATATGCAATTGGGCATTAAAAAAGACTCTATTGGAGTAACCATCAGGAGTTTGGGACTTAGAATCAAGGAACATAGTTATAATATCAGAAAGGTGTCTAATGCAACAATTTTGTCCCAAATGGCGCAAACACCAGGATCTGTAGTCAAATGGAATGCGGCAGCCATCATAGAACCTTTATCTTCCCCATCTTTGGCGTTGACAGCTGAAAAGTTGCAGAAGGCTGTTTAAATGCGAGGGATGAAGAAAGTCTTTCCTCTGCATGGAAGTTTATAGTTAAGAAATTTAATAAGAGCTCTAACCAGTCAAAATAGTAATTTTATTGGATGTGTTAGTAATTGTATTTCTTAATACTTCTATGTACATTTTTTACATTTTTATTTTATGTTATTCTGTTGGTTATTTAATATTTAATTTTATCTTATTCCGTTGCTTATTTAATTTTTAATTTTGTATTCCATTAATGGAATCCTTTAATTCAAATTTGGTTCTCAACCTGAGGATGGCATGTGAATCAGGCTGAAAACATTTGTTTGAAATAAATTATATTTCTCGGCAAGGATAAGGTGTTAGTTATATGTATAGTGATTTGCTGAGTACTTTATGATATTAATAAAACTAACTTTTCTAAATGTAATATTACAGCATTCTTAAAATATTTTATTAAAATTATGAAATAATAGTTTGTACCATATTAGATTTAGGCTTATAGAAGCTTTACCACAATAATTTTAAAGGTTAGTTCCAATAAAACTCTTGGTCATAATATATTAATTCAGATGAGGAAAATTATCTAAAATTAATATGTTACTATTTCCTGTAATTGATAGAATTAGCTGTAAGTCTAACTGATATACAATATTCAAAATTTAGTGTTTCAAACAAATTTAAAACAACTAAATACAAATAAACTAAACTCCAACTACATAACTAAATGTGGAAAGTAGCATTCTGCTGTCCAATAAAAATTATAATTTTGTATAAAATGTTTCTGAGTAAACTTATATTCATGGTGTATTCTTACTTTTTGATCAACCAAATGATTAATTTTGTTATATAAATTAGATAACAGTGAATTTCTTCTGATGACCATGAGTATAGATGAATTGTTTTAAGAGTGCTCATGACATGCAGTAATCAGACAAATGTTTGGCTGTTAACTCAAAATCGGGTATATTTAATATAGAAATGGCAGAATATCTTTGAAATACAGGTAGGCCTCCTACAACACGGTAGATACGTTCCTTGAAAATACCGCGTTGTGGGAAATCGCGTTATAGGAGACACCAACTTAATACAAAAACTGGGATTCGGTTCTAAAAAGAGAAAAACTTGGCGTTTGAATGACGTTTTTTGAATTTTCCAAACCAGCCATTGCTAGCCACGAATTTAACACTGGTTTCATCAGCTGACGACTGTCCCATTTGTTTTAAATAATCAAATATTTTTAAGGCTTAGTGTTTAAGTGCAGTGTTATTTAAAGGCACCCCTTTCTTGTTCATATCTTCTACCCATAATATTAGCGCTTGTTCCATTTTTTTCATTATAGGCGCTCTTGGATGAGCAACATTTTTTGCAAGAATAGATGATCCGAATGTGACCAAATTTCTGATCTTTTCTCCAGATTGCTTAATCAACCGAATAGTCGACTCATTTAAATTAAAATGCCTACCAATATTAGCTATTCGCTCTTGATTTTTTATTCAATCCAAAATTTCTATCTTTGTTTGAAGAGTTATAAATTTCCTTTTTAATGACAGTCCTTTCTTTTCATTCGGCATTGTTATGGCTAAAATTTTTTCAATCAGTTTTGTGGGCAGTAAAAATTGCAAAAAATAACTTCCTTTCACTATGTTGTTAAAAATATACACCCAATAGAAGTTTATACTGTATTTTGGACCATTTTTGCAATCCCCACTTATTGAAAGAGTATAAATGATCGAAAATTTAGTGATATATTTGAGTGTTTATGGTAACTGATGCACATCTGTCTAGAAACTGGTCTTCCCCTGAAACTTTCAAGGGAATAACATGCCAATGTCAACAAACAGCTGTTTTCAAAGACTTTTAGCTCTGTATACCGAACTGCGGCTCTTATCACGTGATCCATTGCGATTTTCCTGTTATGTGAAGATAATTTGTTTCTAATTATCGTAAACCATGTTGTAAAAGTACTGCGTTGTAAGAAAATTTCTGCATTTTTCCAACCGCATTGGAATGAAAACGTGTTGTAAAGGTACGCGAAAATGCAAAAAGGCATTGTAGGAGGCCTACTTGTACTTACTGTATATTTTTACTTTCCAACTAACCCTCGTATATTCTCATAAAAAAAAAAACATAGATATTGTATTTCTTCAATTAAACTCCAAAGAGTTTATTTTTAAAACTTATATATCCCCAGGGTTTATTTGAAGATCAAAGATTTAAAAAAATGTAAATAATATAAATAAGCCTTTAACTATCCAGCAATAAAAATGTTTAATAAAAACGTTTTCAACCATTTTTAAACGGCCATCTTCAGTTGAACCAATATTAAAAAAGAACACTAAAAAGGAATGTATGAAATACAAATTAAACAGAAACCAAAATGTGCATGCGTAATTCATCAGACTTGCGTCTTCTGAAAATCTATAAGTAACTTGCAAATAACATAAGAAAATAAAGCCACAAAAAAAAAAAAAAAAAAAAAAAAAAGAGGGAAATATACGTTGATTACAACGTGTTAATCTGCGTTACTGTAAAAGGATTTCCAGGTATAAGACAACCCTTCTGCATCTCTATGATTAATGCATTCCTTGCTTATGTGTGCCTTGTGTATCTCTATCCTTCAAGGTGCTTCACTGCTTGTTTGGAATTTGTGGCTCTAATGATTGAGGCTTGATCCCAATATACCTTGACCTCTTGCTGTTTGGCAAATGCTGCAAGCA